ACACTGCTAAAGATACGTGTTACACACAGTTAACACTACTAAAGGTACGTGTTACACACAGTTAACACTACTAAAGGTACGTGTTATAAACCGTTAACACTACTGAAGGTACGTGTTACAAACCGTTAACACGTACTAAAGGTACGTGTTACAAACCGTTAACACTACTAAAGGTACGTGTTATAAACCGTTAACACGTACTAAAGATGCGTGTTACAAACCGTTAACACGTACTAAAGGTGCGTGTTACTCACAGTTAACATTACTAAAGGTGCGTGTTACAAACCGTTAACATTACTAAAGGTGCGTGTTACAAACCGTTAACACGTACTAAAGTTGGTGTTACTCACAGTTAACACTACTAAAGGTGCGTGTTACAAACCGTTAACATTACTAAAGGTACGTGTTTCAAACCGTTACCACGTACTAAATGTGCGTGTTACTCACAGTTAACACTACTAAAGGTACGTGTTACAAACTGTTAACATTACTAAAGGTACGTGTTATAAACCGTTAACACGTACTAAAGGTACTTATTACTAACCGTTAACAATACTAAAGGTGCGTGTTACAAACCGTTAACATTACTAAAGGTGCGTGTTTCAAACCGTTAACACTACTAAAGGTGCGTGTTACACACCGTTAACACTACTAAAGGTACGTGTTATAAACCGTTAACATTACTTAAGGTACGTGTTACACACAGTTCACACTACTAAAGGTACGTGTTACAAACCGTTAACACTACTAAAGGTACGTGTTACAAACCGTTAACACTACTAAAGGTACGTGTTACAAACCGTTAACACTACTAAAGGTACGTGTTACACACCGTTAACACTACTAAAGGTACGTGTTACAAACCGTTAAAACTACTTAAGGTACGTGTTACAAACCGTTAACACTACTAAAGGTACGTGTTACACACCGTTAACACGTACTAAAGGTACGCTCTTCCTGTGATTTTTTCTTGTTTGTATTGTTGTGTTAATTGACTTCAGAAATGTTAGCTTTCGGAGAATATTGAAAACAGCTTTAGACATGTAATGAATTCTCATAAGCATTCCCTTTGAATTTACCTGTTTAAAGGGAGGTAACTCGCACGTGGAATTAGTTGCCCATTATACAAAGAATTTATTTTATTCATAGTCCTATCAACTAAAAGCTATTTACTAGAATCAACATGATGTATAACTTAGATCAGCACCTCGGTATATGGCCGTAACGACGTTTCAATCAGCACAAACCTCGTCTCTTTCTTCATGTGATTTTTCCAGAAACGTTTAGTCTTTACAGTTTGTATCTCATTTAGTGATAAAAACAGTTTTCTAAAACAGAAACAAGAACGTTAATGTTTAAATTTCCAAACATACGTTTTAGCAAATATGTTCAAAGAAGAGTTAGCCATTTAAAAAGAATTGAGATAGTAGATAGATATTCAAAGTCTTGTTCTCAAACCCGCGGAACGTGGTGGTCCACAGACATAACTAGCGTAACAAGTTATGTGGATTAACACGAGTTAAATTATTATAGGAACCGTACGTTTTTTCCATGTAAACTTGAAAGTGCTGGCTTTGCCAATATATTGCGGTTTGTGTTTGATGATTTAGAGAGCAAGTCCTTTAGAGTGGTTTGCATGTGTTTCGCAAAGGAGAGGGAAATGCTCATGTTTAAGTTTTGGATGGAAAAATCAATGAGCAAATTTGTATGATAGATTAGTTCTAAACAACGTTTACATATCTTCTGTTTTATCACGTTGTAGACATGGTTGCTCTCCCCGACTTTGCTGCCGGCGCCATGGAGAACTGGGGTCTGATAACGTACCGAGAAACAGCCATGTTGTATGATCCTCTGGAGTCTTCCGAGGTTAACAAACAAAGAGTAGCTGTAGTTGTCTCCCATGAGCTGGCTCACCAGGTACGTGTCGGGGGAACAGTCCACACGTTCTGTAGAAGACGCGACAATAGGAAACTTTCTCAATGAGTACAATTATTCAATTTTCATACTTATGTATGAATGTCCCTGTATTGTTACAGTGTCTCTACCTTGACTTTGTTTTCATATACCTGGTGTCCTTGTAATGTTACAGTGGATCAACCTTGACTTTGTTTAGATATACTTGTTTTCATATACCTGGTGTTCTTGTAATGTTACAGTGGATCAACCTTGACTTTGTTTAGATATTCCTCGTGTCCCTGTATCGTCACAGTGTCTCTACCTTGACTTTGTTTTCATATACCTGGTGTTCTTGTAATGTTACAGTGGATCAACCTTGACTTTGTTTAGATATACTAGATATACCTCGTGTCCCTGTATCGTCACAGTGTCTCTTCCTTGACTTTGTTTAGATATCCCTCGTGTCCCTGTATCGTCACAGTGTCTCTGCTTTGACTTTGTTTAGATATACTTGTTTTCATATACCTGGTGTCCTTGTAATGATACAGTGGATCAACCTTGACTTTGTTTAGATATCCCTCGTGTCCCTGTATTGTTACAGTGGATCTACCTTGACTTTGTTTAGATATACTAGATATACCTCGTGTCCCCGTATCGTAACAGTGTCTCTACTTGGACTTTGTTTAGATATACCTCGTGTCCCTGTATTGTTACAGTGACTCAACCTTGACTTTGGTTTGATATACCTGGTGTCCTTGTAATGTTACAGTGTCTCTACTTTGACTTTGTTTAGATATACCTCGTGTCCCTGTATCGTAACAGTGTCTCTACTTTGACTTTGTTTAGATATACCTCGTGTCCCTGTATCGTCACAGTGTCTCTACCTTGACTTTGTTTAGATATACCTCGTGTCCCTGTATCGT